TATAGTAGGTATTACATTTAAGTTTGTTTAAACAGTTTAAAATATAATTTAATTTTCTATAGTTAACTTTGTAGTGGTAAATTCAATACCATTATAATTATGACAATATTATTGTGTTACTAATATTTAGTGATTAATCATTATTCAGTATACTATGAAATAGTTTGCAACTTATCTCGTATTTTTGTGGAATTTTGTAAAAGTTTAAACTTTGCTTACAAATTACTCTCAAATAAAAGTTTTATATTTCAATCAATGAAAAACTAAAAAAAATTACAATTTTAAGTTTATTTATTTTAAAGAAATAGGTAGCACAAAAACAATCGAAATATTGTTTTTTAACATTTCAATCAAATATCCACGGTTATTAGTAATTGAATTAAGTACAAAAAAAAAATTGGTTTTACGTTAATTTATTTTTGTTTTCTACGATTATTTTGAAAATTATTTTAAATTTAAAATTGTTCTAGTTCTTGAACTTATTTAAAATGTAAAAAAAATGTATCCATTTAAAAACTAAAAGTTGATATCTTACTATGGTAAAATAAAAGAAGGGCATTTTTAAAATGTTTCTTAAGTCTGTGCTATGGTTCTTGAAAATATGTATAAAGCAGATTTCAGGCATCATCTAGATAGAAAAAAATTATCTTTTCCAAATTTTTAAATTCACTGTATAATGTATATAATACATCATATTATACTTTCTTTCGTCATCACTCATACCAGTTTAATATTTAAATAATAATATTTATMTAACAGGTTATAAGTATTATAATTTTGACATTTAACTATGTTTTTGAATTATAAACAGGTTTTCAATATTTTAATTCAAATGAAAAATGAATTCCATTTACCAATATTTTTTTATACTCATATTAATAAAACAAGTAGATATGCGGAAATTACATAGGTAGTGGATTTATCATCAACCGAGATCTTTTTGAAGCCCAGAAGAACATTTTATTTTAATGTCTATTCTTATACAGTATAACTCCAATACGTCTTAGTACAGCTATACAGACATACAGTAGGTATTCAAAATAATAATAAACTTAAATTAAAAGTATTGTTGATACTAATATAATAATATTGTGTTGTCTTMAAAGTCTGAAGAGTGATTGGTAATTTCAGAGCATAGCTTGTTAGCAAAATATATRCAGCCATGCAGGTTTAGATTGTAATTATTTGGCACCCTCTGAACTTATTTTCAACTACAGTCACATCTTGACAGGCGTTATATACCTATACATAGAAATATTGAACTATACATTTATAGGCTGCCACTGTTAATATTTCTSGTTTCAATATTTCTTCAATACATAATAATAATGATTACGGATTAACTTATWAAGCAACAAGTAATTTATCAGGAAAATCAATGCGAACCATAAACAGCTTGTTTAAAACATAAATTAAAACACATATTTAATATTATATACCTATGCGTTGGAACTAATGTTTGTCGTTATGCATAGAGAACTTATTCTAGGGTGACCACATTTAAAAAATAAAATACAGCCATACAGGATGAAAATATATAATAATATAATAAG